AAGTTGTAGTATTTCCTCAGCAACCAGCACGGATCAGCTCCAGGCATGACGAAGCAGATATCGTCCTTTTTTGGAAGGCCAAACAAAGTAGTTTCGCTTTCACAACGAAACACACAGCGTCTTCACGCCATGGCGGCAGCAGCAACAACAATACTACAGCAAGAATGAAAGTTACGCCTTCTTTCTTTGCCTGAAAATTTGGGCGGCGTTATGCAAATCTTCCCAAATCATGACGTAGACATGTGGGGGCGTGTTAGAACGAGCCGTTTTAGATAGGCGTGGTTGACTCTTAACTTTTATAAAGAATATCTCTTTGGATTTGAGACTTTAGTCTTTGCGACTTTACAGATCTTCTTTATGCACCAAGTGCTTGTAACACTTCAAAGAGAAAGGAAAAATGTTAATCGCATCATATGACCCCTTTAAAAAAAATGTCAAAGCAGGGGTGCATGTGCTCCTGTTAAGCAAAAATAATGTTTGAGTTTGGCTTGCGTCATTTCCCAATCCTGTTTCCACCTCTTCTTCCCATAATTTCCGTTATCTTCTTAATAGTCTCCAAACATAAAATTTAAAAGATTTCAGATCAACGTCAAGGCCTCAAACAAATGCGTATGCTTTTAATTTTTTAATACATTATTTGCTTCTAATCAAATGTTGTAATGTTTTCGTTTCAGACCAGACTGATTTGTTTTGAATGTAAGCTATTGCACTAATATTGCTTGCTTTTCAAAGTGATTTAATTGTCTATTAATTTATTTTATTTCAGAAATTTCCTCAGGGGTTTCCTCATGGAATGAACAAATAGATTTTCCAACAAGTGCACTTTTTACTAACACCAGGTGCTACTACACATACTGGACTATTATAGCTCTAGTCCTGGTTTACCTAATTGAATGTGATGTAGTGCTTTAATTAGAATTAATGATCAAGTGGATCAGATCCACCAAGGGTTCAGATTAACTCCAGGCCAATCAGCTGCACTCAGAACAAGAGTAAAACTTACATAAACCAACTGCTTGTGCTTGTTTCAGTTACAGTCACCCTTCCAACACTGAAGATTATTCTCCCATTCACCCTGCAGGCCCACGGAAAACATCCAGTAACCAGATCAACTCCTGACATTTAAATCATAGTTAATCTACATATACACCACCATATATTTATTTTTGCCATGATTTGATATAGTAACTACTGCTTAATTGGATAAATATACTAATCAGTATTGTAATTCTAAGTTCTAGCATCTAATGAATAGTTAGTAGTGAAATTCAAGAAGATATAGTCACTAGTGGATTACTAAAAAAGCACTGACATAAAAAAAAATAAGATAGCCTACTTGCAAGTTTAGTAAGGAATACATGTTAGAACGACGTGCCAAAACCAATAGCAGCACAACAGTCTGAACATGAATTTCAGGACATATCAGTATCAGCGACTGTGTGTAACCAACAACCGTGTATTTTATCTAGAACTACTCAATTGATTTATTTGGTTCTCTTTTAAACCAGCTGCTTCACGGGCTTGTTGGTAATAAAAATGAAAGGCTGTGGAAAACCCGCAGTAAATCCTTCTTATTCCCAACAACAGAGGGAATCCCCACAAATTCCCTTCCCTTTCTCACGCGTTCAAGCTGCTGTGGGGGAAACACGTCTCCTGTCGAAAGCGCGTTTACTGACAAGAGCGCCTGGACGCAGAGACGCGCTCGTGTAGTCGTTCCTTGGAGCGCAAAATCTCCAGAAACCCATACAAAAGCCATCTACATGAAGTCTATGACTTGTGCTCGATTGTGTTTTGTGCTGCAAGTATTCCAATACCTATGTGTTATTTAGAGGCAAACGTTTTCTATCTAAATTCTCATATCTGTCTATTCTTTACAGCACAGCTGAAGCAGCGCATATCGGAGCCTTCATCAGCAGGCAAACATAATGAACATCATTCAGCGGTTGCATGTAGATCCTTAACGCAGTTCCTCACCGTACAAGGCGTTTCGGGTTATCTGGCCTCCCATGACTCAACGCCGGGTCACTGTTTTGCGCTGGCCGCCTTTATTTCTCAAAGGTTGCGAGTGCGATAATTCCACACCGACATAATGCTGGAGGAAAATATCTCTCGGCCCCCGAAACGAGATGTAAACAGTCGGACACTCCTCCTGTCTCGGTGCTCATTGACTGAGCGCGCGGACACCAGCGCCACACTGACTCATTTACATAGAAGGCGGAGTCTGAGAGCGCTTCACTGGGTGCCACGCCCCTCAACTACAGGCAGTGTCTCTTCAGATCATTCCGAGACCCACGCAGACCTATAAAAGATTCAGGAACTCAAAAGAAAACAAAACCCATTCTGTAACATGACTAACCTCACACACACACACACACACACACACACACACACACACAGCTATTGGAACTGGAAGTCCTAGAAACTAATAAATATTAGCACAAAGAAGATTTATTTATTCATTAATTATTTTGTTTTACCACATAGGTGCAAGGTATATACTATAAACACATGATAATACATTAATTATTATAAACAAACAAACATCCCTATATTTCATGACATACTTCAGTTTTCAAGGTCAAAGTTCAAAGGGAGAAGAGGCTGGTGAGTTTTATAACGCAGAAGTTAATTATAAATAATTAATAAAATGCATTATCATTATTAGATGTTCTTGCCACTTGTGTTACATCCCTTGCTTTGTTAATGAAATATGGTATGGAATAATAAATAAAAATATATTTATTATATTACCAGTATATGGCAGATGTGTTCTCAGGTATTAAAAAAAAACCACTATAGTGAACTAAAATGCCCTTTTAGGTGTCAGGAAGATGTGGTTGACATACAACAATATCTCAAGAGGAAGTACAGCTTTCAATTTGAAGAAAAGAGGAAGTGCCAAAAGAGGAATATTTTTTTTAGCAAACAACAATGGCAAAACATGGGGAAATTATGTTTATAATCAATTTTCTGTCATGTCTTTGAGATATAGTGAAACTCCAAACAAAATCTATATGGCCAATCCACTCTACATCTCAGCAGAATGACTAAATTAGTCTGTTAAAGACCCCACTACTCTAGAGGAGGCTGCATATTCCTTTCCTCCCTGACTTTCTTGGAATATTGTTCTGTTCTTCTGTGACCCTTAAGAATTATTATGACCTGTTAATGTCATCTCGGGTCAATCTACTTACTGTCACTCCACTGATCTGGGACCAGGTCCTGCTAACCCAGATTTGAACCTCATCCACTTCAAGAAACATTTCTTCAGCCTCTAAAACAGTTCAAAGGGTGGTTAATTCATTACACTTTAGAATTGACGTGGCAGAATTTAATTTATGTTTCATAAAGATATAAATATAAGTCAGTTAATAAACAAAGAGCTGGACAGTTTTGTTGTTACTAGTTAATAAAAAAAGTGATTTAAAAAGGGCAGGGAGGACATAAACTCAATTAAACTCATTCTCACTATTGCCTCTCTGATTACGGGGAAAACATTATCCACTAAAATCACGTTAGCAATAATATTTACTTTTTTGAGTTCCCCTTTTTTAACAATTGGAATTTTGAAGGGAACCATAACAAACTACAGGCCTTCGCTCCAGAACACCACCACTTTGATCAAAATGAAATCATCGCTTACTCCACAACGATGGGCTGATTGGTGCTCTCTCGCTCACACATGGTGCACACATTTTTGGGAGCCCATGCCCAAAACTCACAAGCACTAGTGCTACTTTTGTGTTCAGGAATAAGGGATTGTCATACGACTTTCATTAGCACCGCTATGAATGATGAATCGATATCCTTTTACAATACATGACGACTTGAAATTAATAGTTGTCTTACAAAAACCTCCTCTGAGAAATATGTTTGCCATTTAGTGGTTTTTGGATTGTTTTTATTGTGAGGTAATAAAAGATCATGATGTTGATTATTTTCATCAGGTTGATTACATTTT